ACTGTTAACAGACTTTCATTTAATATACTGTTAATGTTTCGGATTATCCTCGACCTATCATCAACGGCTACGCATGTAAACAGTTATCACAGCATAGAGATACAAACAAAATTTCACTTCATACGTTAGTGAGTTTAATATGCTACAGCCATAAGTGTTGGCAATTGATCGAAAAGGCACGCACTCTCATGCAGGTGGTAAGGACACATGTCAACGAATTACGGATGTGGTGAGGTTAGACATGCTTCGCAACAAAGCAGTTTAAAGATGGCATCGACTGTGAACTGCTCCTACTTCACGTGGAGAGGTGAAAATGCGATGATCCTAAAAGATACGCGATCGAAGCGATAACGTTTTTTCCACATCACAAGGCACAATAGTGACTCTGTTAAAAAGATATTGCGACACAGTTTTACTCTGGCGAAAAGATCGCGAAATTTCAAGATGTCCATGTCGCAGTGCGAATGGTATGGACGAACAGTGAAACAACAACATTATTCACTTCATAAATGGTACAAAACGGGGATTTTATAAGGAAATTGCACCTGATGCCATCCCAGAAATAACGCTGAAGAAAATATCTAGTGTAACAAATAGCTGACTACATTTAAATTTTGTTATTCAGTTATCCGCTTATTCTCTTCTTTAGTTGGATTGAAACCAAGAGCAGACATTCGCCTGCGTCTGTTGTCGTCTTTTAGCTATAGCACACAAGATATGCCGAAGACGTCCAACAGTTCTAGCAAACTCCTTTATTACAGCGATTGCACGGTTTGTTCTATATCTACATTTTTATATCGAGATGTCATGGTCAAAACCTTTCTTTAAATATAATCTCCGATGATATGAAGTCAAGCAGTATGAACAAAACACGAAAACTGAGTAATCTGTTCGTGTTCGCGGGCAGGTGTTCATACTGAAAACTGTATAAAACACGTTTATTTAAATTTTTATTATATTTATATACAACTTGCCTACAACAAACAAATTGGTTAATCGGAAAAGTCGGCACTGAAAACCTGATTGACCAACCAGTTTATCTGTATTCTGTATAAATAAACGAATTATATGCATTATTCAATTTTGAATAAGACAACATATATGCATTATTCAATTTTGAATATGATAGTCTCTTTTGCCATTTCGACGATGAACAGTCGCGCTGGTCCTAAAATACCTAACAGCAGCGGCTCTTTATCAAGGGCGCATTGTGTCGATACTGCCAAAGCGCAGCCTGCACTTTGTAGGTGGACAAGAATAACATTCAGGCCTTTGACATGAAGAGTCAGAAGCAGTTCTTCAACATCAGATAAAATGATTTTCCGTGAAACACAACTGTCGCAAAGTTACTAGACAGGTGGCATTCATCGTCATAAAAGGTTGAGACATTAAAGATTTCTGACGAGGATCTAAAATTTCTTACCTGTAGTTATTGTGTCTAAAACTGAACTAAAGGAACAGCCCCGAAAAGAAATGGAAAAAGAAGAACGACCCTGCTTCGCCACGTGGCGAAGCTGGTAACAGTTTTCTGCGCAGAACCGTTGCAGCAACACCCGCAAATATTTGCAGCATTATCCCGCTGGTACTTATGCGGAGGCGACTCAGAAGAAAATCATGAAACCAACGGACGAGAAAGTTTATTCAACGGGTCCGGCGATTAGGGAAAACTTCAACGACCCATCTCTCCAGGCAGAATTCAGTGCTTCAACCGTGCTAAGGCCAACAACGTGCTTCGATTAAGAGGAAATGATTATAATACTTTCCGGAAAGAAAAGCCATATTTCCTAAAATATACTCTCATCCGTAGCATGTTTAATTATGCTATATACAGATATCGTCGATTAAGGCCAAAATTTACAACGAGAACCTAGAAACCAAAGGCTTTTAAAACTAGTCGTAAGATTAACAGTAGTTTAACAACAATAACGACTAAATAAATCAACTTATAGACATTATAAATAGAAGCGGAACGGAGCTATAACAGCAATGATCAAGGACCAGTGAAAACACTAAATATGTGCACCAGGGAAGAAGTATCACCGTAAAAGTCTTGATGCGTAAGTTACTTTAGTATTTTCGTTTGTAGATGTCTTAGAGCTGTTTAAACGCAGCCAGCCATGATGTTGTGAAAGTTAGAATCTGTACTTTGAAGTTTTCTTTACGTTAAGACGGAAATTAAAGATAAATTTTAATTCTGCCTGTTTTTCAAACAGAATATATTTTTTAAAAAATATCTTTCATGATTGTTGTAGTGAGTTTGGCATTTTATCATGTTGAAACAGTACTTCAATGCATCAGTCAATCCTTGTGAGCAACATGCAGGTTATTATTTTATTGTCAAAACTATTTAGCTTTCTGCAGCAGATCTAAGTTAAGTTTTAATATCACAGGAAGTAAAAAATCGACGTGAAATGTTGTACGCTACGAAGTAGCACGAGGAAATCTACGACGAGTCAGGAAGGAAGGAGATCTACATTCTTGGGATTGCTGTCTCCTTTGCACTGTCATAAACGACGGCCATTTTTCGTGTCCTTCATTTCAATGAGTGCGTCGTATCGTGCTTATCTGTCATTCTATACCGTCAGCAAGAAGTGCAATGCTCCAAATGCAGAGTCTCCGGATATGTGGTAAGAACAATTTCAAGGTTCTAATTTCTACAGGAATGCGGTAAGCGTAGCACATAGTTTCATTTTCCCTTCCACCAGGATGGTATTTATTTATCTCTCTCAAAGGAAGAAAGCCTCTTGACTCCACTGGTGCTCGAACCCCTGATCTGTCCGTTTTGAGTCCGACGCTCTATCGACTGTGAAATCTCGGACTATCATGATGCTTGCATTTGATCAGATCGACTTGAACCGTTTGCATAAACACAACTTCACCCAGGTCTGTGATGCCCGCTGCATTCGCAGATTTTCTACATTTGCTATAAGATACGAAAGAGGGAAATATTCATCACTGAAAGCAGATCTGCCTCTACTTTGTTCTTTCATGTTGCATGCTGACATCCTGATCGTCGACGTCTGTTGCGTTTCGGCTTTCACATTGGGAGCTCACCGGTTGGAGTAAACGGTTTATTTTCAACCTGTTTGTTTAACAGGACCAACTTCCATTTTTAATCTCTATATCTCCCGAGGTCACCTATGCTCAGAAGTGAACAGATTCATCCCTCTCGTGGTCGTGTCATTTAATCCTCATGATGCATCGTAGCTGCCGTTGTTTTACGCAGTTCAACCGTCGTCCTTGCTCCTTCGTTAGAACAGTTGTTGACTGACCTGACCTGTCAGAGGCAAGTTTTTTGGGTAGAGATAGTCCTTCCTTAGCCCAAATATTGGATAGGTTTCCTAAGGCACTCACCGCTAGATTGATCTTCCTATTTTACTTTGGCTAGATAGTGCCATAGGCTGGAGTTGTTGAAGCCAGATACTTAAACTGGTGAGCCTCCTAAAGCGCTTCATGTCCTTCTGTAGATCAGCTGTGCCATATGGGCTCGTTATAACTTTTGACTTCTTGGCATTAAGGAATCAGTCAGCTTTCGCTGTTGTGTTGGGCACTAAAACTGTCGGGTGGCGGAGCCCGCTCTCCGTACTACTCACCAGAAAAGTATCATCTTTGTATTCTAGGACAGCAAGATATTTAGCCAAATATTTTGAACGACGCCTTTGGAATGAAACCTTCGTTTTTGCCAAAGAAGTGGAAAACAGTTATAATAGCGATAGTGAGCTCAAACAACCTGTTTAATATTTCAAGGACATGGGACCTAATAAGTTGTCTTGATTGATTTTTTGATGATTCGTGCCGAAGTCTATCATTCTGTTTTTGCTTGTAACTATCGCTTTGGGTGCAGCTGATCGGCTTTCTTCATCTCCACTGTGTTTGCCCTCTGGAAGGGCAATGCTGTTTGGTTGAAACATAAGAAGTTTCAATGAATAATTGACCAAATCTCTATCTAGAACTACTGAATTGACGAATTTTTAAATTGTAAGTTAATTTTTTTAGTTCTGTCTGTTTCCATAGTCAGTACTTCAGTGTTGAAGTCAACGTTGGATGACTCTGCTGGGCAGGTGATTTATCTTTTTCCCCTTTATGAAAATGTATGATTTTGTTAAGGTGGATGACCTGTGTGCA